TGTTTGTTTTTGGTTTTGGTTTTGTTTTTTGTGATGTTTCATTTTGATTCTGAAAAGAACCTGTCAAAACGAAAAGTGTTTTTTCAAACTGTTGAATGTTACCTTTAAAATTCTTTTTTAAGTACTTTTTTAAGACTCCAAAAAGATCGGTTCGATCGGTTTTTTTGAGAGGAAAAGAAAACATGTTTTTTCAAAAAGACAAAATAAAAAATGATTGAAAAAATGTTTTTTTTTGTTATTTTTGTTCTATTTGGTTTGTAGTTTGTTCACGTTAGGTTGAGTTATCTTAATTTTGTTTGTAAAATGTGAATTTTTCCTTGCATTGTAAAAAATAAATTGTGTTTCATTTCAATCTCAAATATTTTCTTTGAATGCAAACCATTCGTTAAATATTTATGCCTTTTATACAACTAAAACATCTTGTTTATATGATTCGAAAGGAGTAAAAAGTCTTTCTTTTTTTTTTTATTAATTTGTTCAAATTTGATAAATTGGTTTGTTATAAATTGAAATTTACAAAATTTACGTCTTATTGTAAGACTTTTAACAAAATAGAACCAAAATCTTGAAGCACTTTATTTCAAGTTTCGAAGACGGAAGAATAAGAAGTGAGTAAATGAATGTGAAAAGATTTCTAGATTAAATGGATATATTGTCAAGTCTCTTGAAAGAAATTTTGTTTTGAATTGACAAAAAAAAATCTTGTAGATTCGTCAAAATATTTTTTACTTTTTTGAAGAAATAATTTATTTCTCTTATTATAGGAATTTGGAGTGTTGGTATTACTTGTTTTGATCGTGAATATTTAATTGTTTTCTTTAAAGATCTAATTTCTTGTTTTAACTTGTTTTATTACAAGAATAATTCTTCAATTAAAAATTTCAACAATACAGTGGTGTAACTAACCCGTGTTTTTTATTTTAACCCATTACTAAAATTTAACTCATGCAAAAAATATTGGATGGCTCTAGAAATAAAAGAAACAAACCAATGGGATGGAAACAATATATAAACAAGAAATAGGGTTCTTTAAATAAATTTTAAAAAAGAATTATGAAGATACTGGAAGATTAAAATGTAATTTTTTGACAAAAAAATGAACATATTTTCATTTTTTGAATTTTTATAAAATAAATCATTTAATCTCAGAAATTTTGAAAATATGATGAAATTTTTGAAACAAAAGCATTTAATATAATTGAGCCATTTTGATTAATCAAAGATCTAACCTCAAAAGTCAATTTGGATCTGAACCAAGAATCTATAAGTGATTTCTGGTCTACGAATACCCAAGTCTGAAAAAAAAACATGAGTTAAATTTTAGTAATGGGTTAAAGGTTGTCAACATGGGTTATTTCCACCACTGTACTTTTAAGGTTTTTTACAAACAATCATAATGGTTTTCAATATTTTTCACTTTTCAAATAACTTCGAGATAGAATAAATACTATTTACTAAAAACTGTTCTTTGTTTGATTATTATTTTTAAAAATATTGATAAATTCCAATAAATCTCAAAAAATTTTTAGTTAAATTTCCATTTTCTGAAATCTTCCAACTGTTTCTTATCAAACACTACAACACAAAGAATATTTTGAAGAACAACCAATTTTAGAAAGTATCTTAACACCTGATTTTATAAAATGCTTTATTCAAAGCTTGAAAATAATAATTTAAAAAAGGAAAATTAAGTAAAAAATTTCCAAACATAAATTGCAATTTACCAGTATTATTGTCCTCAAAAAATTAAGAATTTTATGAAAAAAATATGAATAAATTGCATGAATAATTTAAATTTTACATAAAATAACCAGGGATTTACTTTCAAAATAGATTTGAACTTAGGTATACTGATGGGTAGTAAATTGGATGTTTACTTGTTAGATGAAGAAAAAAAAAACATATGTTATATTTTGAAACATAGATTATAGTCTGTGTGCATGTATTATTTTGATCACTGTATTTCTGAATTATATAAAAAAAAATATTTTCTTTGAAAGAAGATTGAAATCTCATTGTCTGTAAAGGAAGTGTACAAAAATAAACTTTAAAAAAAATAAAACCACTGAGTTCTATAATAACTAAGTTTAAAAAATCTACTTAATTTCAAAAAAAATCACAAGAATTATTTTCAACTTGTAAAAAATCTAATTTCTTGATTCAAAGAACAGACCAAATCATTTTTTTCTTGGGATTGAATGAAAAAATCTGAGAAAAAGAACCAAAGAATTGAATTAATTTTTCCCCAAAATACGTTTTTAAAACCTGAAAAATTTAACTAATAATAGAAAGGAATACTTTTTAATTTGATTATTTATAATCAATAATTTATAACAAAATCTTAATTTTTTCAGTTAGCCATTGATAACCCAAAGATTAAATTTATCAAATAGACTTTACTATTTTTTTCTCAATTGTTTAAAGATTTTGCAACAAATAAAACAATTCAAATGCCTATTTCTAAAAATAAAAAAAAATAGATATTATCAAATAAATTATTTTAAAACAAACAGTTCCTTGTTTATACTCTTGATATTTTAAAAAAGTATATTGATAAGTCTTTTTAAGTTCAAGAAATTTAATAAATATTTGTGAATAAAATAAATGTTCAAATTTTTTATATCTTCAAGGATACAATATTTGATTTATTTTTATTGTATTTTTAAAATAAGATTAAATACACAAGGTTGCTTGTTCATAAATACTCTCAGAAATAACTAAAAGTGATATTTCTTCAAAATTAATTTTTTTGTAAATTTTTTTTTTTCTAATTTTAACCAAAAAGGCAACAAAAAGGATCAGGATCTTTTTACTGAAAATTTAGTTGTGAAAATGAAATCTTTTAAAAATGAATATTCATTTCTCTGAAGTTGACAAATCAAGTTGCATATGGGGTTTAATTCTATCCTTATGTAAAAAATTACTCTATTACCTTTGTGAAAAAAAAATAAATAAGAGTTACTAGTCCCTTAAAAAATTTATCTCGAAATATTAAATTTTTACAGAAAGATTTTGGTCACTAGTATGATCGATTTCACACAAAATCCAATTTTTCATTTATAAAAATCAATTGCAGTTTAATATTGATTTTTCTAACCTTCAAATAGACATTGGGTAAAAAAACTTACTATGTTCTTTTTTAGAATTTATCTAACTTATTTATTCGGTATTACATTAATAAGAATAAATTAACAACAAATAAATTAGTAAACACATTTTTAACAGTCAGCCTTTATAGTCTGTAAATAACCCATGTTGACAACCTTTAAGGTTTACAATCCCTGAAATTTGAAAAAAGATTATTGTGTGTAGGATACAGTGCATTGTTATTTTGATTATTATCTGATCGATCCTAAGCTTGGTATGAGTTTTAATAGTGGTTCAAAATAGAAATTTTTGACCATTTATTTTTTTTTTCTGAAATTCAAAGTGAAGAGTTTAAGATTAATTTATTAGAAGGTAAGTTATAAAAAATTGTGGTTTGTAGGTTTTTGATTGAAATTTTAAATTTGTTTGGTTTTATTTGGATCTTTTATAAAAATAATTTTTTTTATTTTGTTAATTGAATGAAGGGTAAATCAAAATTTTCTTTCGACAACCCAAAAATCTTCACTTATTTTTCTACTTTTACCAATCTATTAATTTAACACTTTTCAATTCATATTTTGGAAAAAAAATAAATAAATTTTTCAAAATTGCCATTTTGAACCACTATTAAAACTCAACCCAAGAACAAGATCGATTCGATAATAACCAAAATAACAACGCACTGTATCCTACACACAATAATCTTTTTTCAAATTTCATGGATTGTAAACCTTAATTATTGTTAAATTTAAAAAATATTCGGAAATTTACAGTTTTTTTTTATTATAGAAATTTTTTTCCTTTTTCTTGAATATAGTATATAATTAGCCTAAATTTTAAGTAGACTTTTAAAAATTAGTTGGTATTAAAAATATTCTTTGAATTGTGCAGTTTAAAAATTGAGTTAGTAGATTTTATAGAAGTTATCTATTTATAATTTTTTTATATTTATAAGTATTGGTGAAAGTTAGTGTGACCAAAAAACTTGAACTGTTTGTTATAATATGTTGAAAATAAATTGATTGGTTTGTTTATAAAATACCTCGAATTGTTGTGTTTTTTTTAAGATTTGTCTGCTTTAAGGGATTAGCGTCTACCAAGGAGAAGTCTAGGAACATAGTATGTTGTTATTGGGTTTAACAACATTAGTGCTACATTGTTCAAATGTCTCTAAAAAATCGATTAGTCAAGTAGTAATATTTGTTGATCTCATCAATTAAAAATGATCTATGTATTAGTAAAAAACCCAGCAATTTCAGACTAAAATCTGCCTTTAACCATAAATTTAAAGGTCTAATTATCAATATTCAGATTACAAAGTCACAAAATATCTTTCTTAAATTTGTGGCGAAATGTAGATTAGTTAATAAAAAAATCATTTTGTTTTTAAAAATTAAATAATTCATGAATAAATTTTGTTGACAAATTATTTCTCATATCAGGCAAATATATTGATGCTACAAGTACATTTATCAAAATCATACAAAAATAATCAGTCTTTGGGTTTATATGTTTATGATTATTAAGTTAGTCTTTGAAATTAAAAAATTAAAAAAATAGATACTTTTGAAAGTTCTAAATCTGTATTATTTAGTACCAGAATACTCTATTTTGGGTTTCTATTTTTAGATTTGGAAAAAGAATTAAAAAAAATTTTCAAAATGAAATTTTTTGTAAGTGATTCTAAGTAAAAAATGCATAAATTGATTGTGCAAATAGGTTTATAATAGATTTTTTCGAGCTATTTGAGTCATTATTATCTAAGACGAGTTACACTCAATTACAACATACTTTGATAGTATAGAAATCTAGTGCGACACTAATCCCTTAAATAAAATTAATAACTTAACATTTGTCAAAAAAAGTGAGAAAAAAAATAAAAAAAAACAAATAATTTTAGCGATTTAATGTAAGGTAACGTGGCCGAGTGGTTAAGGCGGCAGCTTTAGGCGCTGTTTCTTCGGAGCGTAGGTTCAAATCCTGCCGTTATCATTTTTTTTTATAGCTTATTATTCTTCAGAGATATATATCGTAGCAATTCTTTTTTATGATCGAAACGTTTTTTTTTGTTCGTTAAAAAAAGATCTACTTAAGGTTTCCATTAATTACTTGGGTATTTTATAAACACCTTTAATGAACTTTAGGTAGGTTTATTATACGATTCATAAAAAATTTCGTTATTTATAAAACGGTTTTGATTTTAAAAATTGGCAAATACATAAAAATTTTCCTAATATTCACATTCAAAATCTTCTAGGGGATTACTTCAATGTCCAGTATTTTTTATACATCTATACTTTTATTTAATAATTACTGGGATAAAATTTCCATTTCCTTTTACATTTTCTCCTCATGTTCAAAAATTAAAATTTTTTTTAGTATTTGGAAAAAAAATGTGAAATAAGGTTTTTAATTGTGAACATAACTCAAAATGAAAAGTAAGCTCAATTAATAAAAGTAAAAATAATTGATAAAAAACAAAATGGAGGATACAATCCAATAACAATTTTAATCATACTATCTTTTCTTATATGAATTTTTCTTTGATTGATCAATTATTAAAAATTTGTTCAAAAAATCGACTATTTTTGAGAACTCCAAAACCACTTTAAGGATTTAGATAAAAAAGTATATTTAAATTTTATTTGTTTGCTTGATTGAAAATAATATAATGGTTTGTTATCTGACATTAATTGTTTGGCTCTTTTGATTGATTTTATTTTTCATTTTCAGTAATGTTCCCAATTAAAACCCCTGTTGAACCTTTTTCTCTGGTTCTTGTTTTTTTTATCGGAACAATTCATCACCTTTCTATTTCTAAAGATAGAAACACAAATAACAATATCCCAGTATTTAATAATTCATTTTTAATTTTTTCAAGAGCAACTATATTGTCAATTTTTTATATAACCAAGATTTAATTAATAATCATCAATATAAAAACCCAAAGAATGGTTTATTTTGTTTTTCCTTTTTATATATAGCTCGTTCTAACATCAATATGTTTCCAAGATTTCAGAAATAATTTGCCAAAAGAATCTATTGGTTTATAATTTGATTTTTTTAAACAAATGTAATTTTTTAGCAACAAATCAACATTCCCTGACTTACTCAAACAAGTTATATAATTCGGAAAGCGAACTAAAAAAAAAAAAATGATAAACAATAATCTTTTTTCTATGAATATATAAATTGGTTATTTTCAGAATAAAAACTATTTATTGATAATATTCGTCTGATTATGAGTATTATTAGTTTTCACTATTTTTTTTTTTTTTTTTTTTTTTTCTGTTTTTTTGAGAAATAAACAGTCGAGTTATTTCTTAAAGTCTCTAAATATAATTAAATAGAAGAGACATATGGATAGAAGAAATAAGAATTTCATCTAGATCTTAATTAGCCAGTTATATTTTCTATTTAAGAAAAATAGAATTCATAAGATGTTTTTATTCTACAGTTTTATTTATTTTGAGAGTTTAATGAGGGTGAAGAAAATAACTTTTTAAAAATGTTGAAATTTTGAACGAATTTTTTTTTTCTTGAAATTAATTAAATGTATTACAGTCAGTTCCACTTTTAAGGCACAAACTTTCAACGAAATTTAAGGCACAAAAAAAATCCCAAATTAAGGCACAAAATTCAAATTCTAGTTAAATAATTTGTGAAAAATAAAATTCCTAAAAATGTTCCTTTATTTGAGATTTTTTTTTTGTGCCTTAAATTTCGTTGAAAGTTTGTGCCTTAAAAGTGAAACTGACTGTACTTTTATTAGAATCTAAAAATTCATCTAGCTTTAACACAATTGTAAATATAGAATGTTGTAAAAAAGAGAGTTTTTTCTATTTTAGAGATGAATAAAGAGTTCTATGCAATTACCGGGAGTTCATAATAGTAAATATAATACCTTATTATCTTAATATATTAATAATAATTTCAATCAAAAACTCCTTCTGTTAAATAACAATCTTTTATTTTTTTTTTAAAAAAATTATGTTTCAAACAAGATATTCGTGTTCACCAAAAGAATTTATATTGAAAATCTATTTCAGCATAAAAATCAAAACAGGTTTTTTGTTTACTATGATGAATTCCGGGTAATTGCATAGAACTCTTTATTCATCTCTAAAATTGTAAAAACTCTATTTTTTACAACATTCTCTTATTAGGAATATGAAGGATCTAAAAAAAATGAAAAAAAAAAACTTGAAATAATTTTTCCACAATTTTTTATATTTTTTTTTATTTTTTTCCATCAATAACCTCACATTTCAACAATAATAACTTGAGCAATTTGACTCATTGTTTTGACAACATGGATAATATTGGTCTTTCTGGGTGCTATAAATATTATCTTATCAAAAAAATATATATATATATTATTTAGTATCTCAACTTTTAATAAATAAATATAGATATTTTGCAACTTTGGAGTCTAAATATTGATAATTCAGCCATTTAAATTTGTCGTTAAAGGCAGATTTTTTAATCAAATTTTTGGGTTTTTTACTAATACAGCAATCTTTTTTAATATAGGGAATTACAAATACTACTACAATACCAATCGATTTTTTCGAGACATTTGAATGATGGATACTAATGTGATTAACATCCAATAACAATATACTTTAACCTAGGGGTATATTAAGTAGACAGTAATTCCTTAAATTACTAGTAAATTTAATAAAATCTTGGAATAAATTTAATACAAATTGAAAAAAAAAATTACTCCAGCTTGTAATTGAAAAACAAATGAAAAATCTGATTACTAAAAGAGCAAACTTACTTTTAAAACTATTTTCCGAAAGGTGTTCTTGTTTTTAAATAATTCAACTGATTTTTCTCACTTTGTAAATAATTCAAAATCCAAAATATTCCTGTACATTTTTTCACATTTTTCAAAAAATAGAACTATTTTCTTTAGAAATTAGAAATCAAATTATTTATTCAGGAAGTGTACAAAAATATACTTTAAAAATAAAACAACTAAAAAGTATTCTAAAATAACCTAAATTAAAAAAAAGACTTAATTTCAAAATAAAATCTAAGGATTATTTGAAACTTGAAAAAAAATTATTTATTTATTCATTTAAAGAACGGTTTGAAAATTTTTTTTTTTTTTTTTTTTTTTTATTTATAAAAAGGAGTAATTAAAGAAAAATCATCAAATAAAAAAAAGAGAAGAAGAAAAATAATTAAAATATATAAAAAAAATAAATTTTTCATTTTCATACCCAAATAGAAACTACCCACAACCTGAATACACAGGAGGGGCACAAACCCGATAGATAGATTATCAATTATAGATAAAAATTCCATATTCCATGATTAATAATTGGTATTCCACGACTGGTTAGGATTTTTTTTTTAATTTAAAAGAATATATTACAATCTTTGATTTTGCTCAAATTTTTTAAATAAAAAAAAAAACTATACTATCTCTCACAGTGGGGCACTAGGTGCCCCAATTTTTATATATTTTTTTACTATTTTAGAGATTTATTGTTTTCACTTTATTTTTATTATTTTTTCTTTATTACCTTAAGTTTTCTAACCATAAGTCTTTTGATAAAAAATTCCCGAAAAGCGCAATAAATTTCATAATTTTGATTAGTCATGTTGAAGAGTTTCTGTGTATTTTTTCTAAGAATAACTTTTTCGTATAGTTTCTTATCTAGAATTTATGACAATTTTTTTTTCCACTTGATTCTGATAAATTTATACCTTTCACAATACCAAATAAAGTGGTTTATATTTTCATAATAATGAGTATAATAATCACATTTTTTACATTTTTCTTTATTTATGTGTGTGTGTTATATTCAAATTTATTTTTTTAAAACGTATGAGTATCTATTTAATTTATTTGTAAAAGTTCTAAATTTGAGGAGTGTAGTACTTGATTTATATTTTAGATAATTATTAATTTTAAAATTAAATTCTTCATTTTTGATAAAACATTTTTTTCTTTTTATTTGAAAATAAAAAAAATACAAAGCAAAAAAATCAAACCACAAAATTAAAAATACCCACAAAATACTTTTTAAAAACTGCGAAAATTCAACTAGTATAACCAAAAAAAAAAAACAAAAAAATACTTTTTAATTTGATTATTTATAATCAATAATTAATAACCCAATCTTTATTAAAGCTATGGGTGGCTCATAACCCATATATTAAAGTTTTCAGTTGAATTTCTAATTATTTCTCAATTTTTTCAAGATTTTCAAATAAATAAAACTAATTCAAATAAATAATTCTAATAAAAAAAAAATCAATAATAATATCAAGTACCTGATTTTAATATAAATGGTTCATTGTTTAAACTCATAGTATTTGAAAAAAAATATTACACGATCTTTTAAAATTTTAAAAAATAACAAAGATTAATTTTTTAAGATCTGCAATGGATTAAATATTTGATTTATTTTTCTTATATTTTTAAAAATAAGATTTACATTTTCAATATTATTTGTTCATAAAAACTCTTAAAAAAATACTGAAAGTGAGATTTTCTCAAAATAAATATGTGATGCAAATTTTTATTTTATTTGATCCAAAAATCCAAATCAAAAATGGATCTAGAATCTATTAACATAAAATTTAATTGGAAAAAAAGAACTCATTTTTAAAAATGATAACTCATTTCTCTAGAGTTGTTAAATGAGCTTTGAGGTTATCAAGTTTAATTGTGTCTTTATGTAAATAATTACCGTACTACCCTTAAGAAAAAAACATCTAATAAGAGGGAAGAGTCTGTTAATTAAAAAATTAAACCCATACATTGAAATTGTCATTTGTGTCTCTATTTTTTTGGTAATCATTTTTTATTCAACACAGCAAAGTGTGCATGGGTGAACTTGTAATTCAAAAAGAAAAGTTGTTTCTCAAAGTTTCGAAAACTTGCCAAAAACCACAATCAAACTAAATAATGAATAATTGTCTGTAAAATATATTAAATTGTATGGTACTTTCAATTGTCGAAACGATTTGAA